AGTATGGCCTCATGTAGTAGGTGTGCTATAGGGTCCAGTGGCACAGTCCACTCATTCACCTGGGCTGGGCACTGCATGTGGGCTGTGTACACCATTTGTTGTAGTTGAGCCTTGATTACTCAATGGGAAAGATTTACTCCCAGGTCACTCAACTGCAAAGACTGGCTACAACTACTGTGGAGGATCAGCTGTGCAGGGGTCTTCCCCACAGAACACAGATTATGTCGGGTGGGCTCTGTTGCCTGCTGAGTCTTCCCTTTGAGCATGTTACCTATGCAATTTGTTGGGTGGTGCTTCAATATAGTACACTGGGTCTGGGACCTTCTGGTAGGTATAGGCCAAGGTCAGCCTCTGCCTGTGTCCTTCTTCGGTCCATATGGCATATATTACAAAACAACCTGCAGGTGGCTATTAACTTTTGCTGGGCTTGGAAGTGCCCAGGAAAGGCTGCACTATGCACCAAGGCTGACTGCTGCTAGTGCCAGGTATGGGGGCACTTAGTGAGAGATACAGGGGACATTGAGGTCAGATGCTGCTTGTTGGACAGATTTTAGTTAAGTCTAAAGCATGAGTCAAGCCAGGCCATTTGTATGGAAAATGCACTGGAAACAGTTTGGGTGGTCCTGAAAATTGGAATAGGCAGGGTCTCAGGGAATCACCAGAGTAGGTCAAACAGTGTAACCCAGGCTGATGGAGTCTCAGATATGTCCCCTGCCTGCTGGCTTTATGGTAGAGGGCCCAGAAAAGGAACAATGGCCTCTGTCAGGACTTCTTTCTGGAAGAATGCTGTTCCTCTAGCTCTTGCCTTTTCCCAGACAACTCAGTTCCTCCCCACATGTTCCTGGTGCAATTCGAGATGCTACCTCAGTGCTGAAGCTCAGATGCAGTGATTCTGAGTAAGTCCATGTGTAGGCCCTTTAAGAAGAACACGTGGGATTCCAGAAGCCCTGTGTCTCACTCAGCCACATTCCTGCTGGATTTTACAGCCAAAAGTTATGGGGACCTTTCTTCTTGGCACTGGAACCCTGGGCTTAGGTGTCTGGTATGGGGCCAGGACCCCTCTCTCCTCAGGAAGTCCTCTGAAGCTGAGATAGCCTCCCAGTTTTTATCTGTCATATCCCTCCTACCAGTCTCAATGCAGCTTCTTTATATCCTTAGCTGTTAGGACTCCCATTCAGCTAGATTTCAGGTAGTCCTGAATGAGGATTGCTGTGTAGTTTAGTTGTAATTTTGATGTCATTGTGGAATGATTTGAGTACTGTATTTAGCTATACCACCATCTTATCCAGAAGTCCCTGTTTAATTATTATGTAAGCATTTCATTAAGTATAATGAGTTTTTTTCAAAGTCTCAGTACTTGGGTATTACATCAATCTTTAATTATCTGACAAGTCTAGATTAATTAGAAAAATATCAGACTGCTATCTCTATGACTAACTATCCATATAGCTAAAGATACTATAAAAAACACAGACAGAAATTATGCTATACTACTAACTAAGGCATATGGATTTGGGATTTATATTACTGTTACAAATTAGATAAAGTGTTTGCACTCATGCCAGGGTGAGATGTTTGGAAAGTCTTAGACAGTGAGGAGCCAAATGTTGAAAGCAGAGACTATGGCTCTGTGATTGTTAGTATCTAGAGTAACAAGTGAGGGAATTAGAATAAATGGCAGAGGATTTGTACTTCTGATTAGTCCAGAGCTGAAGAATCTTAAAGTCACTAACTCAAAGTGATAGGTCTCAGAGGTTTTATTTAATTATTTAGACTGTAAACATATATTGAGTTCAAAGTTCTATAGTGGGCATGATGGCAACTGGAATGGAATCCCAATGATCACTTAGATCATTTGAATGTTTTGTGCAATTGACATATACCTCAATTTCAATGAAATTTGGGGGTGGGGGACAAAGCAAAACAAAAATACCTCATATGCTTTGAGGTTTTTGCATATATAAGAAATCATGTAGGATTCACCTTCTTATGTGAGCACTCAAGAAATTATAGTTACTATGATCTGGATAAAGAAATAGACTCTTCTTAAAACCAGCCTATGTGTAGGTTGTGGGGCCAATTTTATATCATCTACAGGACAGATAGAAACCCCCATTTAGTAGTTTGCAAAATTAAGCCATCAACTTAACTTCATGGAATTTCAAGCTTGTTGCAGAAGCATCTGGACTTTCAAATAAGCGCCAAGCCCACCTTTGTGTGCTTGCATCCAACTGTAACGAGCCTATACATGCCAAGTGGATAGAGGGCCTTTGTGCTGAACACCAAATCAACCTATTTAAGGTTGACGACAGCAAGAAACTGGGGCAATGAATGGGCCTCTGTAGGATCAACAGGAAGGGAAAACCCTGTAAACTGTTTGGTTGCATTTCTATGGTGATTAAGGACTATGGCAACGGGTCTCGGACAGCATGTCACTGAGGAGTACTTCAAACGTAAGCAAGAAATGAACAAATAAACTTGGCCTTTGTTTCTCAAAACAAAACAAAAGAAAAACAACAAAAATGAACTTATTATTCTGTTGGAAAGTGGTATCAGTAATACAAATAATTTGGAATTGGGAATGTGAAGAATTTGGGCTTAATGTGGAATTTTGAGCTTCTTGTATTCTGAAATGGAAAGTTGGAGCAAATGTTGATCTAAAATCTAAAAGGTCAGGTGCACTAAGATCAGAATACAAGTATTCAGAGCACAGAATAAATCTGATCTCAAGGCAGAGCAAGAAGCTCCTGTGGCCTGTTTTGTATTTCCTGAATGAGTCTCAGTGAAGGTCAGGCAAAAGTATAGTTGTTTCTCAGAGAGTGGAATTCCTATGCTGTACAACGTGATATTTTTGCTGTTGTTGTTATTGATATTTGGTTATAACACAGAAGGAAAAATATGGTTATAGGAATGTTTTCATTGTCTTTAGTCTGCAAATATCAAAAATAAAGTTATTACATATTAATAAACTATTATTCTAACATTACAATTTATTTTATCTTAAGCCATATATTGTTTTTGTGCATGGCAGTAATTCTTCTTGTTTTGAGTTTGTCTTTAAATGAAACAAGGTCTGTGAAAGTTCCTAGCAGAATTGATGGAACAGTTTACTCTTTTCTGGTTAGTTTTCTTTTTTTGCTTTTCCTTCCTTTACTACATTATTGTAACAAAAATGCCTATCAATACATTCTGTTTAAAATGTAAAATAAGAAATGTATGGTTTCCATGATTAGATGCTGATGAAAATACTATAAATAGGAGAAAAACTACATTAATTTCATAGGTTCTTTTTTTTAAATAAATGTAAAAAATGAGTAGGAATAATCTGCACTATACTTTTTAAGATTAAAATTTTAATATATATTCAAGTATTTTTCTTTAAAATTTCTAAAAAATTGGTTTTTATATGGCTCTATCCTATATTCTAAAAGAGAAAATTAGTTTATTTCCTTGTCACTGCAGTTTTCTTTTCATATCCTTATATTCCATGATTTCTGAATGTGAATGCTATTTCTCTTCTCTACCTTCTTACTTACTTAGTCATAAATCAATATTTTGAGTAAAACCTGTTAAACTGAATCACGGATAATCATATAGTTGTTGGTTACTGTCCCTATTCATCTTTAGAAGTTCAAAATATGAGGTGAGACCTACTGTTGTGTTCCTTTCCTTTATGATTTATATTTATAAAATAAATAAAATGTTTAGAACTAATTTCTAAATAACTGGTCATTGGCATTGTAAACAATTTTTAAAAAATGTTCTAGCAACATTTAGTCTTAATGAAAGAAATTTTTTAGTGAATTCTGTCAGAAAACACTGTTGATTGAACTTCTTTCTTTAGCCTCATTTGAAAATCACTAAAAGAAAATAATAAAAATGACAAAATTTGGAAGGTGTACTTTTCCATTACTGCCTTTATAATATAAACAATATCAAATGTTAATGCCTCAGAGATGATTTTTATCAATTTACTGAATCAAAGGTTCAGTACAATTTGAATAATTTGCTTTCACTAAGTTTTTAAGGGCTTTTTTCCTTACTACCATCTTAATACAAATTAAGGCAATTTCTTTGTTAGATTGCAGCATTTGATCTATTGTCTTGCCTTCAAATAATATGAAGTTACACATATTGCCTAAATATTTTTTCCTGTCTAAAAATATTTAAATACATAGTATTACTTCTTTTCTATGGATAAAATTCCAGTTATACATCATTCATGCAACATGTTATAAAGGCTACTTAGTGTTTGTAAGAACTGTACTTGTGAATGAAGATTAAAGTACATTCATATGAACGTACTTATGAATGAAGATGAAAGTGATCAGGATAAAAGTTTTGAGAGGATAAGGAGAAATCAAACTCAGAACTGAAGAATATACCCTGGAGTCCTTTAGCTAATGATAGGAGTCCTTTAGCATAAGGAATAGCTCCTAAGTCAATTCCAGGGCAGGAGAGACAAGAGAATATGAAACGGGAAAGAGAAGCTTCTAGGAGGTAGCACTTGTGGTAGGAAAAGCAAATAAACCATTTGTTGAACAATTCAAAAGCTAAAAAGCAAAATATTTATTGATCATCTACAGGTCATTCTAGAGTAGCAAAGGGTCTTTTCAGATGTGACTAACTTTGTTTTGTTTGGCTTAATCATTCATTGTGATGGAGTGGGAGAAGGGACAGGTTGGGAGAAACATACTCCAGTACAACTTCTCGAAAATGGGACTGAAAAGCGTTTCCTTTACGACCCTGCATTCAACACCTAGCTCAGGGGCCAGCAAATCAGAAAGTTTTAATTAAAACAAAAAAAGTTGGTGCAGTCTTTAAAGGATTGCCAAGTTACTGACCTCTTATCTCCAACATGCCCTGGGGAAGAAGTTAGCAAAGAGCACCAGGCCTGCCACCTCCTGCCACTTATCAAGAATCATTTATGTTAATAATCTCTTCTTTAAAAGCCAGTCAGGCAGGAAATTTAAGTGGATTCACACTTCTACATAAATTACCTCCATCAGATAACCAAACAAATTGCTTTTCTTGTTCTGCTATCTCAGATCTCCTGCCCCAGGTATTATTTTCAAGAAGTGGAGGAGTGGTGTGAATTTCTTTGGGCGTCCTGGCCAGTTGGGTCTCACTGAATCTGCTTGGGGAAACAGAAGGAGGGCAGGGAAACGAGAGAAAGGTAAAGTTAAAACAGAGAGAAAACACAGAAAAGAAACTTTCCCTATTTTTTATTTTTACCTACGACCTTCCTGTGAGTTAGAAAACCCTTTCAAGAACATTCATAGTAAGTTGCTAATGCCTGAGCTAATGTAAAATAATAAGACCAGAGTTTGCCTTGGTTTTTTTGAACATCAACAGTCATCACTGACTTATGAACAGAAACCTAGATATCATTTGAACATTTGTCTAAAGCCCATGACATATGGTACCAAACAAGGATACAAGTAAATACATAGAATCTAAACAATCTAATTTTTCCTGTGCACGTACATTGTTTTTTTAGCCCAGAACCAGATCATTGGTTCTGTTTTTCATGCTTGAACATATTTAACTAAGGTAACTGAATGTAGCAACAATGTAGTTGGTACAGTGGCCAAACTTCAGGGATCAGTGTCCATGGCAATGCATTGAATCCAGTTTCTGCTCCCTTTTTTTATAAAAAGGAAGATTGACTAGAAGAGAACATTGCCACCTTATTCATTATGTATAGCTCATTAGTTCCCTTGTCAACCTTCTTTGCTTTTAATCAGTTGAAAGAAAAAGGCTTCACAGATTTTCAGTAGGAAGCATATGGCACTGTAGCTCATCAGTAATGTGTGAACTTATTTTTAAAGGTGCCTCTGACCTTGACCATGTATCCTTCCCAAGATACTTCTTGTAAATCCTGTGATCAATAAATGGAATAGTATTCTAGCCTCTTCACACTCACCTTCAAATGTCTGTTTCCTTCCCATCTCATCTAAGCTTGTGTAAAACAGGTTTTTTTCTCTGTAATAGGCTCCAATCCTCTTTATAAGCTTCATAAAAGAAGGGCTTAGCACTGCTTTTCAATATGAAGTTATGACTATAAAATAATGAGTTAACAAGATTAGTGTTTTAAGAAATCCAGCTCTACTTAAATGTCTAAATGGATGCTGCATCCTTTTAAGGAGTCACCTGAACAGCAATATGTTTACTCCAAGGGTATTGCCATCCCAGGTGGGGTATTGCTGTTCCTTTGGAATAATGTTTAGAACCTATTTTCCAGCTTCAATACATTCTAGTTAGGCCTCCGATTTCATTATTTACTGCAGGCGAAGCTTTTTCAACTTCTAAAAAAATAACCAAGACTATTTAACATTCACCAATGTATTTTCTTTTGCTTTGTATATATTTGTCAGTCCATTGAGAAAAGTAAAGGATTGGAGATAGGTTGATCCTGCTGTACAACCAGGACCAGTCTCTCTTGGACCTTATACCCTTCTTGTCTCTTGGGCTTCAGGTATCAGAGCACACTTTGAACCATCCTAACTCTTAGAGACCCAGGGGCTTAAGTAAAGTAAATGTTATTATTTTCCAGGTATATTAAAGCATTGCAAGGTATTGATCAAGTAACTTATAAAACTTATTTTTCCACTATAAGGGAATAATGAAAATATCTGTCCAATTTGTTCCTTAGGATACATGAGAAAAATATCAAATATTGCAGGGGAAAAATTATTTTTAAGAAAGAGCTACTGTGAAAATGAGTAAATTCCAAACTTTGAGGTTGCAAGAGGCATTTAATATATCAAAATTTATTAAACAAGGTAGAAATCACACTAATAAAATAGTTAAAGATTATTTTTCTTATTCCTATTTTGAGTTAACCTTTGTAACATATTAAGTATACTACTAAAAGGCATCTATATATTATTTGGAAAAATTGAAACATTATTCATTCCATCACTGATTTTCACATGAGGATAGGCATGTGTCCCTGGGGTTAGGTCACTATCCTTAGAGACACTTCTTTCAAACAGCATCCCTACCTGCTCATTTCCTCCAGACCTAACATGCCTCCTCCCAGTTCCCTCCACTTCCACTGTGTTGAAAATCGCACTGTTCACGGGCAGTGTTTCTGAGTGGAGTACATTATTCAAATGGGCATTCTAAAAGCTGAAAAAATTTTGAGAACCAATGAATTAAAACGTGGCTATCTAAAAGCAGTAAATAATAGAGGTATACAGTAGAATTTAATCATTCATTAATTAAAACCATAACTGGGCTTGTCCTAAAATAATAGACTTTTAAAACCAATATATATCTATATCTATATATTTATATATATACACACACACATATATACATACATATATATATATATATATGATATCTATAATTTAAAATAGTTTCTCTGGAAATCATAATGACACATACATATGTAGGCTTGGATCGAAACCACTGGACAAAAGCAGAAGGAAATGTCTTTGCTGTTTAAAATAGGTGTAGGCAAGTTTGCAATGGTTCTGCATTATAAATTTGCTGCATGCATAATTACAAATCAGTTATAGTTTCATTCTTTGAAGTAAATTCAGAACTCTCTTACTTTCACAGTATTCAGGAGATAAATCAAATGTTTCTTTCATGTCTGCTTGTATTGAGTCCACACCCAGTTTTTGAGAGCTGCAGTCACAATGCCAAAGCCCAGACTGAGTGTTTAACAATGTTGGTGATACAATGAAGAGAATCTGGGGTGATTGTATACAGCAGTGTAAGTGCTGAACTCATTTGGTGCCTATAAATACAACTGTATCACCCCTAGTTTCTTAAAGGACTTTTGAAAAAATTCACTATAAAAGTAGCTTGATTTGTCTATCACAGAGCAAGATATGCTTGCTGATTTTACGTACTCAAAATAGAGGTGGCTATGTTTACATTCACAATGCTATTGCAATTTATTTTCTATAAGTAAAAAATATTGACCAAACATAATAAAAATTAATTTTTAAAAGGCCACAAAGTACACATTAAAATTTGTACTGAAACATGAAAAAATAATTAAAAACACCATAGCTGTCTAAACCAGGACCCTTAAAGTGTGCAAGATTTTTATTTCTCAGCTAGAACCAAAATGCTTAGTAATGTTATTTTAGTTTATATATATTTTTAAAAAGTGTTTATGCTCTTTATCTTTCTTTTTTTTTAAATAAGCAGTCATTTTTAAATTTTGGAGGTATCTCCATACTGCTTTCCATAGTGGCTGCACCTTTCTGCATTCCCACCAACAGTGCAAAAGGGTTCCCCTTTCTCTACATCCTTGTCAGCACTTGTTATTTGTTAATGTATTAATGATAGCAATTCTGACCAGTGTGAAGTGATAGCTCATTGTGGTTTTAATTTGTATTTCTCTGATGATTAGTGACATTGAGCATTTTTAAATATGTCTATTGCCATTTGTATGTCCTCCATGGGGAAGTGTCTATTCAGGTCCTTTGACCATTTTTTTAATTGGATTGTTTGTTTTTTGGGTGTTGAGTTTTCTAAGTTATTTTTTGGATATTAACCCCTTGTCAGATGTATTGGCAAATTTTATGTTCTCCCATTCAGTGGGTTGCCTTTTCATTTTGTTGATGGTTTCCTTTGCTGTGCAAATACTTTTTAGTTTGATGTAGTCCCATTTGTTATTTTGTTTTCTTTTATTTCCTTTGCCTGAGGAGATTTATCAGAAAAAAATGCTGCCACAAGCAATGTCTGAGATTTTACTGCCTATGTTTTCTTCTAGGATTTTTATGGTTACAGGTCTAACATTTAAGTCTTTAATCCATTTTGAATTTATTCTTGTGTGTGTCATAAGAAAGTGATCTAGTTTTTTATATCTGCATGTATCTGTCCAGTTTTCCCAGCTCCATTTAATGAATAAATTATTTTTACCCCATTGTACGTGTTTGCTTCCTCTGTCAAATATTAATTGACTGTAAAGGTGTGGGTTCATTTCTGGGCTCTTTATTCTGTTCCATTGCTATGTGCCTGTTTTTATGCCAGTACCATGCTGTTTTGATTACTATGGCCTTTTAGTATAGTTTGATATTAGGTAGCATGATTCATTTGACTTTGTTCTTTCTTAAGATTGCTGATGCGATGTGGGTCCTTTTGTGGTTCCATATAAATTTTTGAAATATTTGTGCTAGTTCTGTGAAATATGTCATTGGTATCGTAATAGGAATTGCATTGAGTCTATAGATTGCTTTGGGTAGTATGGACATTTTAACGATGTTAATGGAACTACCTTATGACCCAGCGATTCCACTTCTGGGGATTTACCTGAAAAAACCTGAAATACTAATTTAAAAGAATATAAGCATGCCTATGTTCATTACAGCATTATTTACAATTGCCCAGATAGGGAATAGCCTAAGCATCCATCAGTAGATGAATGGATAAAACAACTATGGCACATTGACGCAATGGAATACTACTCAGCTGTAAAAAAAAAAGAAGGAAATTTTACCCTTTGTGACAGTATGGTTGGACCTGGATGCTAAGTGAAATAAGCCAGTCAGAGAACGACAAATACCATATGATTTCACTCATATGTGGAATCTAATGAACAAATTGAATTAACAAGCAAAACAGAGACATACTCATACATGGAGAACAGGTGACAGCTATTGGGGGAGGTTAGGGGGTGGAAGGATTGAGCAAAAAGGAAAAAGGACTTGTGGACATGGACAACAGCGTGGTGACTACTAGAAGGAGGGGTAAATTGTAATGGGAAAATACAATAAAAAATACAAGCAGTCTTCTAAGAATCACTGGTGCATTTTATATTATAATAAATTATAGCACCAATCTGTTTTGTGCTAGTAAATATGAACAATGACCTTTTCCCTTGAAATTATTCAAGGTATACCTAGAAAGATATAAAGATATCTGTATTATATATTATAATATATATTATAATATTATATATGAATATTGTTATTTATATATAAATTATATATTATATTTAAACAGTTATATATATTACATATATCTGTTATATTTATCTGTTATATATAAATACATATATGCCTGTTATATATATATCTGATATATAAAATATATATATCTATTTTGTATGTATCTGATATATAAAGATATACATATATATCTGATATATATATTGATATATCTGTTTTTAAATGGCTTATACATTCCAAGTACATCTAGGAGACAACCAATAGTTTATCTAATATTTGAAACAAATTTTCTGTGTTCCTTCATTTATTTTAGTCTGTGATGCAATGAGCTCAAAAAGAAACAACAACAAAAATAGTTGGAAAAATTAACACTGAAGACAGAAAATAAATCAAGTCACTCTATCACACAATTTCTACATATTCAGATACAGTAAATGTTGGTTAAGTAGTACATGAACATGTAACTTTTATGTTTAAAATTTGGAATGAAACCTAAGAGGAAAAGAAGTAAAGGGGGTTAAATTTAGTATAGGAGTGGATTTGGGATTTTTTTTCAGGATATACATATATATGTATATATTCTCTTAAAAATTATACACACACACACATATACAGGGACCCCCCCCAAAAAAAACAGAATTATCTTCTGGATGGAAGGCCCCTTGTGGCACAAGCTTCCCCTGCTAGATGAGTGTTTTTGGAGTGTATCAGTTTGCCAGTAGGTGGTGTTGTGAGAGGCTGCATTCAGCTTCAGTCAGATTTTTTGGAAGACTCTTTCAGTGTGTTTGCCTGTTTCATGATGGATGATTTACAAGCACACTGGTCCACACTGTGCTGAGTGTTCAGCAGTTTTTGACCAAAAACAGCATGACCCACATGCCCTACCCTCCCTATTCACCCAGTATCAACCCAAGCCTTTTTTTTAATTTCCCTGGATGAAAAATGTCCTCAAAGTGAAACATTTTACTGATGTAAAAAAGGTGAAACAAAAACTAGCAGAAGCACTAAAAGGCATCAAAATCAACAAGTTCCAAAACTGTTTTGAGTAGTGGAAAAAACGTCTTGATGGGTGTAGTGCATCAAATGGAGAGCGTTTTGAAGATGACTGAAGTTTAAACATGTAAGAATAAATACAC